GCCAGTGTCGCCACTGGTCTCATATAAACAAATTATTATCATTATTAAAGTTTTTATTTTAGTATTCTATGTTAATCATCATTATCATTAGTATAGGTACTGTCATATTAATTTAGGAGCCCACAACCCGTATGGGTCATACAGCTCCTGGGGAATGGGAGGTAATCTGACTTGAGCCGAGGAGGTAGTGGCTTTAATTCCTGAATCAAGAGCTCTTCTCCAACAATACTAATTCCCTCCTTCCCCCATCATCCTTGAAGGCCTTCTTCGTGTCAGTAGATTCACTCAGTGAATGTACTGACAAGTATTTATACATAATTAATGAACGAATCCGTACAGAAATGTAAATAAATGGTTTAAAATAAAGTAATTTAAAACCCAATGAATGTATGTGAACACTTGGTGTATTCGGTTAACAATAATAATGCTACGCAATGTGTCAGTGGAGATAATAAAGCTAGTGGAAGTAATTACTGGTCAGAATGAACAATGACCGATGGTAGCGGTCACTACATGGAGGTTTTCTTCTCTCTTGTGGGTCAACGTTTGAACGAGACCCGCTTCAAATCATTTTTATTTTCCTACAAATAGACAATGCGTGGCTCTCTCAAAATTAACATTCCATTAACAAGAAAATATTTTACTGTTAACATACTAAACAGTACTTCCTGTTAATGAGGATTCTTGCATTACGCTCACAAAGAAATTTTACGAAAAACATCGCATTAAAATTCATTATTTTGTTAATCCTGGCATTTTGTTTTTCCACTAAAATAGGAATGGTAAATGAAACACAGATCAAGAATACAGTATTGTATTTAGGTAGAGGGTATGATACAACAGGGAGGATATACTATTCGCGACCCTGACGCAAAAATAAAAAAAAATACACAAGTTAACACTACGCTGCTTAGAAATCAGTAACATTTGAATCTGACTCAGGAAATATATCTCACCACACTGGATCAAGAATCAACGTAATAAATTTATTTTTAGCTGTAGTGCACAACCTTCCTCAGCGCTGTCACACAGTACCAGACAGTTGGTAGGCCGACACTCGGTAAATGAAGGCCAAATAGATACAACATCTTTGTTTTCGAATCGAAGTTATGGCTCACCAAGAACAATGACCGTGATATACACAGCAGCAGTAACTGGAATACCGTTATAGTAAACGTTTCGCCTGTACAGCAGGAATTTTTTGCCCAAGGGGAGAATGTTGTCTATTCAAAGTATTAAATTAATGTTTATAGTGACTTTATGATATACAGGTGGCTGGTATTTCCATGCCATTCAGTGTTGAAAGAGAGATAAACCTCTCACTGGATGAAATGTCTCTATACTAAAATATGTTTGGTCTAGGTGCCTCTGATGTATACTGCCAAAGAGATTCTTTGCACCTACCGCTTTTTAAAATACTTGTTCAACTTTAGTGCTAATGAACAATGTTATTAGTCAGGGTTGAAGACGGAACTACAGGCTTCAGCTAATCATAAATAGTCTTAGCGCTACTTAACTCTATGACTGGCCAGCGCTGAGGTAACATCTTCGGTCTGTAGCCTCTATCTATGAAACAAATTTGCGTCAGGTTCGGAAGATTGTTCCTTATTCTTATTTTGTGTACATGTCTGATACAGAGGTTAGTAAAGGTAAGTGTTGGGGAGACACTAACGTTCCTCTACCTTTTAATCTTCTAATTAAAAAAAGAAAAAAGAAAATATATTTGTATCAGTAACCCTAATAAATACACAAATATTATATGTATAATATATATATATATATATATATATATATATATATATATATATATATATATATATATATATATATATATATATATATATATATATATATATATATATATATATATATATATATATATATATATATATATATATATATATATATATATATATACATACACCATAAGAGAGCTACTGAGGGCTGTTACATTACTGACGTTGTTAATTATATAATGATGTAATATTGGGATCTTTCTATGCATATTTTTTTATCCTTATCATTCGGTGTGTCAACGTTTTATATTAATATTACACTCTGCTCATCATTCCTACATTTAATATTTACACAATATGCATTATATAATGTTACTGTTAACTGAATATATCTATATCTATATCTATATATATATATATATATATATATATATATATATATATATATATATATATATATATATATATATATATATAAACGGAAGGCTGAAAGGTTTGTTAAATTTTACAAAATACTGCTGCGTTTGTAGCTGCTTAATTGAATAAACATAAAACTTAATAAAATTCCCCCCCCCCCACACAATTTCCTGGTGATCTACATATTTGGAGAAAGAGGTACACTGAGTCATTAGTAAGTTCCGCCCAACATTTCCTGGTTAGCCAGTCGGAGGAGGAGGCATTGTTAACCCACCGAGAAGACTCAGCTCACTTGATGTTTACCAAATGAGAAAGAGGAAGTATCGTTAGACGCTAAACAGATAATAGCATTATTGCTTTCAGCTATATTCTAGTTCACAAAACAAACACACATACACACACACACACACACACAAACACATGCACACACACACACACACACACAGTAACCATCAAACAGTGCGCTTACTTGATTTTACACTAAATCAGGAATGTGTACAAAAGGAAAGAAAAAACTCAGAGGCCTGTGTGCAGAAAATTGGACAGTGTCGGAATGAGTAGATTCCTAAATCAGACAAGACTGGAAAAAAGAATTCGCTGGGAAAAAAATCACAGGAAATGATGGAATCTCTCCAAGGTGCTGGGAAGCAACAGAAAGATTCATCCCGGTCCAGGAAAACACAAGCAAGATTTATATTTGTCCAGAGGGACTTAAGCAAGAAGCAAAAAGAGAGAAAAGTTGATTCACCAGACACAACAAAGAGGTGAATAATAAATGTGAAGAAATTTAAAAAAAAATGTATATATAAAGAGGAAGGCCTGAAAGATAAGAGATATGTAATCAAGAAAGTAATAACTGAATACCTCAGCATTACTAAGGGAGCAGAGAGACAATTTACTGATGAAGCTACATAAACAAATACCGAACCAGAGCTACTTGTTAGCACATCTGTGGGGAAAGTTAGTACATATATCTATAGGGTAACTTAGTACATCTGTAGTGAAGAACAGTTAAAGATCAAGTGATAAAATTGAAGTGAGAGAGGTAATTAACTCGAAGAAAAATGGCATGACAGTATAAGAACTTAATAGGAATTTCCGGATTGTGAACAAATAAGAACAATGTTCAATACGAGTCTGAGAAATGGTAAGCGGAACAGTCCTACAAAACTTAGAAATAAAGAACATGGGAAATAGAGATATTCCAAGCTGTTCTACACCCAAAGTAGGCGAAGTGCAAAGACAACATGTCGTTGAGGATAATAAAAGGAAGAACACTCGTGTGTGGAACACTGGAGAGTCGATCTGCTTACAGTTCAGACGTGGGAAACCGTCTCTACATACAGCTTATTAATACCAAAAATCTTCGTTTCTTCCGGCTAAAAAGGAAAGAACTACAGAGTACATAACTTGAACTCATGACAAGAAAAGAATGAAGAAATGAGGGGACACGATCGGAACATACAGAATACTTAAAAATATGTAAGAGGTAGACAAAGAGAGCGTTCAGAGCGAGAGAAAAGAAAACGAGGCGACTGGGATGGCAGCTGAATACATGGATACCCCGTAATGGAAGGGAGGAACACATTAGAATTTAGAGACCGAAACAAAACAAAACAAAAAGTGCAGTCCCCCTCCCCCCAAAACAAAAACAGAGATAATTCCAAATAAAGCCAACCAATAGGAGGTTAAGAGGCAAGACCAAGAGCTGGTGCTCAAAACCTCAAACTCAGGTAATTACACACACACACACACACACACACACACACACACACACACACACAAACACACACACACACACACACACACACACACACACACACACACACACACACACACACACACACATACACACACACACACACACACACACACACATATACACACACACACACATTCAGTGGTGTTTGGGAGGAAAGAGTTAAGGTGAGCACAAAATGTGAGCCATTTTTACGAATAATAGGTCAAATATCATAGTCATACGAAGCACTGAAACAACTGGCGTCCTGCCCAAAACAGTGAAGACACTTTGCAGAACCAACTTTCATTAATACAAAGTTTCGAGCTGTTAAAATATTCACCAGGTCATGATAAAGACCCTAACAGTGTAAAACGTTGTCCTAGTAAAGGCATTTTCTGCTGTGTGTTTGTCACATCACAAACCCTACGTGAAGTGACACCAGGGAAGACCAGCCCCACAATACGTACTACGTAGCTTACCTTCAGTACTCCCTTTAAGCTAGTAATATTTCAATATATATATAAATATATATATATATATATATATATATATATATAATATATATATATATATATATAATATATATATATATATATATATATATATACATGTCGTGCCGAATAGGCAGAACTTGCGATCTTGGCTTAAATAGCAACGCTCATCTTGCCATATAGGACAAGTGAAAATTTGTGTATGCAATAATTTCGCCAAAATCATTCTGAACCTAACGAAAAAAGTATATTTCACTGTGTTTGTTTAGTATTAAATTATTGTAAACAAATCTAAAATATATTTAGTTGGGTTAGGCTAAAATAAATTGCGCTTGTTATAATAAGGTTAGGTAAGTTTTCTAAGTTCCTTTTGGTGCAAAATTAAAAATTTTTACATCAACATTAATGAAAAAAATATATCTTTAAACGTATAAGAGTAAATTTTAGAAAGGTCTTAATTTTAAATGAGTTCTTGCTAATTGACCAGTTTTGCATATTCGGCACGACATATATATATATATATATATATATATAATATATATATATATATATATATATATATATATATATATTATATATATATATATATATATATATATATATAATTTTGGCAGTACCACAATGATGATAATCTATAGTTATTGACTTATAAGACCAGAACATTTTTGTTACGTCAAGTAACTCCGTCATCGAGGTTGTTCTGCGTAGAGTGACCCGATCGCGGCTTTAACGTGACCTGAGCTCTTTTGGCGAAACTCTCTGTCACCTCGGCGATTAATTATCTTGTTGAAAATGCTCTTTGAACAAAGTGAAGGTTTGAGGTGATGCAGTTAGGTCAGATTCCACAATTCGTCTTCTTTAATCGTGAAATTTAATGATTAGTTTGCAAGTGTCAAAGTTTACATTGTGGCTGTATTTCACATATATGACCTAACAAAACTGCTGTCATTTTGCAGGAAAACATAAGAAATTTGTTTCCAACTGCTTTTTATTGGTTATTGTAACACGTCATTTGTGTTCGCATGCACACTTTTACAAATTCCATCTGTTTTTACATGTGTAAAAAAGTGATCAAGACATTTGCAAGGAAGATAATAAACACATGTGACTCGTCTAGCTTTGTTATTCATCATTTAATGTTGTTACTCTCTAATACATTTGTGAGAATTTTTTGACAAAGTGAATATTTTTTCCTTGCGAGTTATGTCCTAATAAAATAAAACAGATGGAAGTATTATTAAGCGTCAATATAAAAACAAAAGAAGATAGCAGCGCTGTGTTCTGTCTTCTACATAACTGCGGCCACAATATTAATTTTAATAATTACAAAGAAATCCTCAAATTTGACAATTTAATATAGTGAATTCAGGAGACAATTCTCACTACACAAATATTAAGCATCACTTTATCTCAAAGGCAATTTAATTTCAAGTCGATAACTTAAATCCAAGTTAACATATATTTCATTAATGCTGACTGAGGTCAAGTCACTTGAAGTAGCCATGACGTCAGTTTCTGCCCAGTAGTCGTATTGACGAAATATCGCAATGTAACGAAAAAAGTTCTGGTCTCCTAAGCATTCGTTAATGTTTTTTTCAACAATATATTTCTATTATATACATAAACAGGGACTTCACCGAGGCTGCTCCAAAGAGCTGTGACTCTTCAGTGAAATGGAGACTGGGTTTTTCTGGAAGCCACAATGGTAACAGTGACCGTGGGCGTATGGGAGAGTTCCATATCTCCGCACGGAAAGTAAACACCAACTGGTTGCTTACACCTCCAAACACGACTGGGAACTCCAACGAGAAAATCATTTTCAAGCTGGACTGGAAGAATTATAGGACTATCTACACGTTCCTGTGTTATGAAAACACCTCAACTATAACACCAGTAGATCGGGACATAAAACAAACATTGTGTTTCACAAGTAAAATAACCTACAGGACTCTTAAGCTCGATTGTGACGTCATGAAGGACATGGCGACCAGAAACAGCAGACGACAGACAAACGCAGCGCTTAGATGATCTCCCATGGGAGGCCACTGAAGCTTTTTGCTGAGATTGCGAACGACGGGAGACAGAAGCGGCCACTATAGGAAGTCAATGAACTGTAAGCGGGAGGACCTTTGTCATCTCACACAGACGGCGCCCAACGCAACATATCGACCGACAACGAAACCTCCATTCATCCCCCCCCCCCATCTTCTTTATACCACTCTTCTTTTGACGAGAGGACAAACAAAAATATGATGGAAGAAAGCTGTTTGGTATTTATACAAAAATTCTGTTAACTTAAAATAACTCGGAGGATAATTCCCATAAGATACTTCAGCAGGTTGAAGAAAATGAAGGTTTCTTAGTGTGAGTGACTCGAGCCATGAACCCAGATGCTGCTGAAGGAAGATGTAAAAGACACGAGCAACTAATGAAACATTTATTTTAGCTGCGTTTCGCCCCTAGAGAACGAAACGTAGCCACAATAAATCTCTTATTAGCTGTTCACGTATTATTGTCGGTAATTGTACCAATGTTTATATAAGGAAGATGCAAATATCACGTACACGAAGTTTACCATGAATAAAGGAAAATGTCCATGTAAGTGAGAGGGAGTGTGATCATAACATATAGAGACGCTACCTTGTATAAGGAGTCAACGTCCCAGTAACTAAACAAAACATAAGCAATTAAAATAAAGAAAGTGTAGTCAAGACGACCATATAGAATCATCATCATCCCCATCACCATCATCTTCATTAACACTACCACCATCAGTATCACCAACAACATGACCACCTTGATCGCTACCGTCACCACTTATCACCACCATTACTAACATCACCTGCATCATAATCGCTATCACTATCATCACCAATTCAGCTATTATCACATCACCATCATCATCACCAATGTCACTACCATCACGTGCATTACCACAATTGCCATAGGCATTACCATTATCTTTACCACCAACACCAAAATCATCATCATAACCATGACTACTATGACCACCACCATCATTACTTTCACTTCCAACATCACCACCCATATCATCATCACCTACATGATTGGAAAGGTAAAGTGATATCAACAGTTTAAGGCATTTTTTAAGAAAACGTTTCACCACAAGTGATTTCTTCAGTCTGAATACAGAGACAACTAAGGAACGACAATATATAGTAGTGAGAGTGTTGAGGTAACAGAGGGAGTAGTAGTACAGGAGTGATGGGTAGGGTTTGAAAACCTGTCAGCAGTGGAGTAACATACTAAAGAATTCCCTGGTGCAGCGTGACGTTGATGGCCGGTGTCATCTAATGCCAGTGTCCAGGTTGAGTAGTGAACAGTTTGCTAAGACTGGTAATGCTTATAGAAACCAGAGTTTTGTGGGATGGTGCTGGTTACTGCTATCATGGTAGCCCCTAGGCAACGTCGACGGCGTAGGTCATGTTCACGTATAATCCAGGTTATCTTCTCCGAATTTCATGAGGTGACCTTGATGTCTTGATCATAGACATTTTTCTTACTTGCAGAGATCTTGCTGTTTAGTTTAGCTCACATATTTCTTATCACACCTTTCACAAGGTTTGGCGTAGACTCCCGCGGTGGTGGGTGTGTTGTCAGTAGTCGAAGAGTTAGTAGGTATTTCAAACTGACTCCCTTTCATTGTTAGCAGTATACTGAGCAAGTGTTTCCTCTGTATAGTCCACGTTGTTCCTGTTTGGAATGTGTGATACATGTTTTCTGCAGTCGGCAATGAAGTCAAGAGGGAGGTTCAGTAGTTTGAAAGCTTGTGCTATGAATTCACATTCTTCATCGAGTAACTTTGGGCTGTAAATCTTGTACGCCATTGGAGATAATTCTATCATAACACCTATTTTAGTTCTGTTATTGTGATGGGAGTATAAAGGAAGCAAGTCATTCTCGTAAGTTTTCTGTATACTTTAATATAAGAGTCCAGTCCAGTGTAGAAAGCATCATCACCCCATCAGATCCTCCAATCACAGCCGCGCAATCCACTTATGATCTACCAGCCGCTAAATCCACTCCTGATCAACCAGCCGCCCAAGCTACTCCGCCTTCCCAGACTGCCACCGCCTCCACATCTATTGCAACTCCACCAGATCATATCCCAGGCCTCACCTGGAAAATCTTGCGATTCTTCACTACACTTTTCAACAAGAACACCATATTCGCCAGAGAACTCCACACCTCCGTTGCCCCATACAACTTCTCATCACGACAAATCTAAGATTTTGTGCAACAATTCATCGATGACTTCGACAACTATGCACAACTCACGTGCCTAATTAAAAAAGTGTTTAAAAGTTATAAGAATGGGTCGTTTCAAACTAGACAATAAACTCATAAACTGCGCCTACCAGCTGTCTCCTGAATGCTTATACTTTTCATCGTCAAGCGTTCATCTGACCCTTGGCTCTGTTTCCACGACTGAAGACACTTCCCCGCTCTCTTCTTACCTGAGAGTTCCTTCGTTCGTTCTTTGTATTGGGACTTAAGAAACCACTTGTGGCTAAACGTTTCCTCAACAAATGCCATGAACTGTACATATGTTTCTTCATCTACGTCAGTCATCACTACTCTTACCACAACCACCTTTACAACAACGCTACCACAGACGCCACCATTCTTATCGCTATCGCTACCATAATCATCACAGCAACCACGTCCACCACCATTACCCTATCGCCATTATCATTGTCTTTAGCATCACAGAAACACCGTCACAGCTACCACTATCCCTACCACCATTAACAACACAACCGCCACCACTACCACCTCAGCTACCATCACCACTACCACCATCACAAAACAAGCACATCTACTACCAGTGGATCAAGTTAAGGAACCCTCCCCAAGCCATACCGCATACTACTGACCACTCGTTACACACAAACGTCTAAAAACCATCTTGATTGGCTCTTCCCAAACTCTATATTAATCAGGCATTTTATGTAACTTATGTAGAGTCTTCCACTTATTCAGTTCCTTCAAGAGATTTCGAAGCAGAAGACCAGAAGCCGTTGAGGATCGCGGGGTTTCAAAAGCCGAAAGACTGAGGCTGTTGAAGTCCGCGGGAGAAAGTACACGTCTTTGTAGACTCCAAGAGAGGAGAGCGATTGGAAGGAGGAACGAGATGGGATGAGAAGGATGAAGAAGGCGAAGCAGGAACCGGCGACGATGGCTGGAGAAGGTAGGTGGTGGTGGTGGTGCCGCATCAGAGCACAAGCAGAAGCAGCAGCAGAGTGTGGGCCGCCACCAACACCGTCATCTGTCTGACTGAGCCTCCTGCTGCCACACCTGCGACACAAAATATGAAGCGTGAGCTGGAGCGAGGAAAAAGTATAAGAGTTAAACTCTACCTCTAAGAGGTACAGTGGCAGAGTATACAGACAGAATGTAAATAAGACAGAAAGTGAGTTATCACATTTTATTGTGAAAATGTTTCGTCTACAAGGGACCTCAGTTCAGTAGCGAGTTAATAAAATCACTGATAAAAAAAAAAAAGTTTTCACAATAAAACGCCATAACCAGCATTGTTTATTTCATTTACACTCACCTAAATTCACCTCTAATAAAAAATAGCTTATAAATTCACCTCTAATTAAAAAAAAAACACATTAACTCACCTCATAGGCGAAATGTAGCAACTCCAACGCTATAATGGTACTTACGTAGCTCACATCTGTTGAGAATATTACACATTAACTCGACGCCAGGGAAAAAAATAAAGCCCAGTTACTCATCTTCAGTGTGGGGAAAATATAAATAAATTAGTCTGAATGTATTGTGTAAGCACGCTTATAGGGAGGAAATACAGAATTTACATTAACTTTGAAGACGAACGAGCACCTTCGTGCGGTCGGGTCCTCAATGCCTACAGTACCTGGGGTGAGGTCCTCAAGACCTACAGTACCTGGGGTGAGGTCCTCAAGACCTACAGTACCTGGGGTGAGGTCCTCAAGATCTACAGTACCAGCGCTCAGATACTCAAGACCTACACCATAAGTGTCCGGGGCCCAAGACTATTCAAAAGCCTCCCACCATGCATAAGGGGAATTACCAATAGGCCCTGGCTGCCTTCAGGAGGGAGCTGGACAGATACTTAAAGTCGGTGCCGGATCAGCGGGCTGTGGTTCGTACGTTGGACTACGTGCGGCCAGCAGTAATAGTCTAGTTGATGAGGCCCTGATCTACCGGGAGGCCTGGTCGTGGACCGGGCCGCGGGGACGTTGACCCCCGGAATACCCTCCAGGTATACTCCAGGTGGTCTGGTCTTCACTATCTAACTGCGGTCTGGTCTTCAAGGAACACTTTCCTGGAATGTGATCCTCAACTCCCACCTACAGTCTGTTCCTCAAGTAACACCCACCTGCGGTCTGGTCCTCAACACCCACCTGCGGTCTGATCCTCAAGTAACACCCACCTGCGGTCTGGTCCTCAAGTAACACCCACCTGCGGTCTGATCCTCAAGTAATGCCCAACTGCAGTCTGATCCTCAAGTAACACCCACCTGCAGTCTGGTCCTCAAGTAACACCCAACTGCGGTCTGGTCCTCAAGTAACACCCACCTGCGGTCTGGTCCTCGAGAAGAGCGGGTACTAGCGGATGGACGACAACGCCGCTGTGGTGGACCTCCTCCAAGTAGAGGGGATGGATGGAGGCGGTACAGCGGAGCCTGACGTGATCTTCCACGAAGTGCCACCGCTCCGCCCGGAACTGCAGCCCCAGGCGGGACTCGAACCTGCCAGAGTTGTCGGAGGTGGGCGGGTACTGCGCCAGGTAGTCCTGCGGAGCCTGCGGCAGGAGCCAGCAAGAAGGACGAGGAACACAAGAAATTTCAGGGAGATCATTCCATCGAAAATGGGGATATTTTCATTACTTCTATTACATCTTAGCCACTTAAACTAGAACTAGGGTGAGGAGAGTATTATGGTCATGGGAAAGTGCTATATTTTAGTAGTCATACAGCGCATGGCTAAAGTAATCTAATATCAGCCACCTTCTGTAGCACTATAGTGATTTAACCCCAGACAGAAGATCATCTTTACCACGTAACCTACAGTAAGATGACCTGTGTAGGTAGTGGTAAACATTACTGTGTAGAGCGTACCTTCACTTACAGACGATGCTTCGCTCTAAATAAAGCCTTATAAAATGAATGACTTCAAAACCTTTAACAAATCATTGACTTCAAAACTTTATCAAGTGAATGACTAAATAATGTTATCTGCTCGGGAAAGTTTAGTTATAATTTCTCTTGTAGTATGATTCTTGTCAGTGGTAATTGTATGATATTTAAGAGTTAGTGCAGTATACACCAGAGAATCACACTGCTGAGTTATGGTAGTGTATGGTGACGTTAGTGGTGATGCTTCAGGCTTGATCAGTCTGAATCTGACGGGCCATTGTCATTAATTCCTTAACCTGACTAAATATTGTGATTTATGGTAATTACTAAAGAGTTTTAAGCCTTTTAAATATTACCATCATCAAGTAAATTTGTATTATTTCCATTTTTACTATCACCATTTCAAATGCACAAGTCGATTCCTCATCTATTCGTTGACGAGGAATGGAGGTGTGCATCCACACTCTGCGCTCCCCCTCCCCCCTCTCTCTCTCTCTCTCTGTCTCTCTCACTAGCGCTGTGATAGAAGACGGACGTTGAACTATACTGTCCTTTTAATGCCAGTATTTTGTTGATAGGAGATAATTTTTATTATTATTTTCATATTAAAGTGTATGTGTTGTTGTGCGTGAAACGTGAGAAGCTGGAACGTTAGGGACTTGTCCCGCTGACCTCTTAGACGAGATGGGTGGCAACAGCAGGTGATAAGGGGAAGTGAATATGAAATGATTAAAAGCAGAAATCATGGTAGAACCTTCTGGGTTGAGTTCCGTGGATTTTTCTTATATTTTTTAAGTTAACCTGGTAGAGTGTGGCGAGTCTAGTATAGGTTATGTACCAGGTTTGACTCTCCCCCAGAAGATGCTCAAATCTTTCATCTTGTGTCAGGACAGAGTTTTTAGTCCAGTGAGGGATGGAGTGTCTTTTAACAAGTATTCTGTTTGCATCATGTATATCGAAATGTGATCATCCATCAGTTTTTAGAAGCTGTATGTATAAATAAAGTTTTACAATTCGTATTCTCGTAGCCGCAGTATCTGATCATACATACAGATTATATCAGCATATTTTTAAACCCATTTATTTGTCTTGTAATTTACTCTGTATCCTCTATTTTTTTTAAGTAGAATCATGGAGGTTCGCTCCTCCGAAAGGGAGTTAACTCTCTTACCTCTCGGACGAAAGCGGAGAATATAGCGAACCGTCCGTAGTTTAGTGGTGAGAATTGCGGCTCTCATGACGGGAGATCATGAATTAATTACCCGGACGGGGGAAAAAAACAGAATTGTCTGCCAATCAGCTGAGTCTTCCAAGATGTGTCAACAACGCTGCCATCATGAGTAATAACAGGTGCCCTACCATCTTTCATTGCATCTTTACGTTACTGCAATTATTTCTTTCGTTAGGCTAGCAGCTATACTTAGCACATAGCAGCCAAGATAGCACGAGATAACGTAACAGCTCTACTTAGAGCGACTCGTTGCCTGTAAACAACTTCGCACGTCAAGTCATTTATTTTAGTGTATGTGTGGGCAGGTGTTGTCAGGTGAGTCTTGTTGTACGTACTGTCCATGATTATTATATAATTGTGAACTGAGGGAAATAATAATAAAATAAACTTTTAACTTAATGCAGTGGAACCTCAAATATCGAACTTAATCCATTCCAGGAGTTAATTCTAAATTCGAAAAGTCTGAAAAGCGAAACAATATTTCCCATAAGAAATAATGAAAATACAACTAATCCGTTCCATAAACCCAAAAATATTCACAAAAAAAAAATTCATTTTATAGAGATTAATTATAGTTTTACATGCACACAACAAATATAGTGTTCAATTATGTATTAATAAATTTAAATAAACATATAAAATAATATTTTACTTACCTTTACTGAAGATTGGTGATGGCATCTGGAAGATAGTGAGGAGGAGAGAGGGAGTTGGGGTTAGTGTTTGGAAGGAGAATCCCCTTCCATGAGGACTTCAGGTATCAAGGCCTCCTCTGGGGTTAATTCCCTTCTCTGTCTTTTAATACCACTAGGACCAGCTTGAGAGTCACTGGACTCCTGTCTCACAAAATAACTGTCCTGGTCACAGACCGGGCCGCGGGGGCGTTGACCCCCGGAACTCTCTCTAGGTAAACTCCAGGTAAACAGTCCTCTGTTTCTGGTGCCTCTTTAAGATTTCCTTAAAATGGGACATGATTCTGTGACTGAACTTGTTGCAAAGATGGCTTGTTTCAGCTTGCTCAGGGTTGTACTTCTCCACAAACATTTGGACATCATTCCACTTAGACATCATTCCACTTAGACATCATTCCACTTCTGTGTTTTTTCTTTCTTCACATCTATGATGTTTCTCACTTTCTTTACCACAGGGGTACCACTAGCAAGTTTCTTTGGTCTCATTGTAGCTTATTTCACAGTCCCACAAGCACTAAACACAATGAAATAATCATAAAATGTTTTAATGAGAGCACAGGTTAGTGTTTATTCAAGCATAAACAAAACCAGACTGGCTCACGGCACCTGCGTGGGGACGCGGACAGAACACGCTGCCGGACAGGTCCAGTACCCGGCGGTTCAAAAATAGGGGTGAGTTCGATAATAGGGATAAAGTTGCTTCGAAAAAAGGGTTCTATTTTCGAAGAGTTCGATAAGCGATACGTTCGAAATTGAGGTTCCATTGTAATGTGAATTATTATTATTATTATTATTATTATTATTATTATTATTATTATTATTATTATTATTATTATTATTATTAATCTGATTCATTTAATCTTATTGCTATATTCGCGGAAAGTGCTAAACCTGTAAAGATCATTTAGGGATATAAGCATGTATTGGGGATTGTATTGTTTACTTAGTTACACTTTCTTTTCTGTGTTTACGAGACTCGAGTCCCAGCTCCTGGCCCTACCGCTTAACATTACCAAGCTGTATTTAAGATGCACGAGTTCCAGCTCCTGGCCCCCACCACTTAACATCCCCTAGCTGTGTTTACGAAGCTAGTCTTAGCTTCTTGCCCCACTACTTAACATTGAATCATCTTTCTTAGTTCCTCGTGGGATGGGTAATATAGCTCCAGAAAAGGATGTGAGAGGAAGTAACTCTATGCTCGTGAAAGCTCTTGATCCAAGGACTTAAAGGGGCTACGTTCCCCATCCATAGATCAAACGAGATTACTTTCCATTCTTCAGGAACTGCATGATCCCTTTTTCAATAAGATTCAGTGCTAACTATATGTATTTCGGTCGCTGAGCATTCCAAATTACAACTAGTTAGCATTGAATTTTATTAGTCCAGTTCCCTCTGCCACAATGAAGAGGGGACTGAACTAATGAAATTGGAATAGTGCAGAATGTGGCATAAGATAATAACGCACTTAAATATTAGCGCTGATGATTTGAAGGGAACCGGAAGAAGCATTCACAAATCATCATAATCGCAAATCGGGACAGACATAGCCCAGATCTAATTCAAACCTTTCAAGGAGATCAGAGACACCAGTCCCCTAAAATACACAAGCACATTAAGCTTGAAGCAGCTCTGAAGCTGCATTATCAAGTCATCATCTTGGAAAGCTTGAAGGTAATTAGAGGCGACACACAGATATTATCTAGTGAAAAATGGCCTTTAAAAAGAACGACATAAATTCAAACATTTCTCCAAGTAAAATCGATCAGGTTTTAAGAAAGAAAGTACAGCAAGTAAGTAAGTAGGTAAGTAGGCAAGTAGTAGTGGGTAAGTATGTAAGTAGGCAAGAAGTAGTGGGTAAGTAGGTAAGTAAGCAAGTAGTAGTGGGTAAGTAGGTAAGTAAGCAAGTAGTAGTGGGTAAGTAGGTAAGTAAGCAAGTAGTAGTGAGTAAGTAGGTAAGTAAGCAAGTAGCAGTGGTTAAGTATTTAAGTAAGTAAGTAGTAGTGGGTAAATAAGTAAGCAAATAGTAATGGGTAAGTAGGTAAGTACTAGTGGGTAAGTAGGTAAGTAAGCAAGTAGCAGTGAGTAAGTAGGTAAGTAATCAAGTAGTAGTGGGTAATTAGGTAAGTAAGCAAGTAGCAGTGGTTAAGTATTTAAGTAAGCAAGTAGTAGTGGGTAAGTAAGCAAGTAGTACTGGGTAAGTAAGTAAGCAAGTAGTAGTGGGTAAGTAGGTAAGTAAGCAAGTAGTAGTGGGTAAGTAGGTAAGTAAGCAAGTAGCAGTGGGTAAGTATTTAAGTAAGCAAGTAGTAGTGGGTAAGTAGATAAGTAAGCAAGTAGTAGTGGGTAAGTAGGTAAGTAAGCAAGTAGTAGTGGGTAAGTAGGTAAGTAAGCAAGTAGCAGTGGTTAAGTATTTAAGTAAGCAAGTAGTAGGAGGTAAGTAAGTAAGCAAGTAGTAGTGGGTAAGTAGGTAAGTACTAGTGGGTAAGTAGGTAAGCACTAGTGGGTAAGTAGGTAAGTAAGCAAGTAGTAGTGGGTGAGTAGGTAAGTACTAGTGGGTAAGTAGGTAAGTACTAGTGGGTAAGTAGGTAGGTAAGCAAGTATCAGTGGGTAAGTATTTAAGTAAGCAAGTAGTAGTAGGTAAGTAGGTAAGTAAGCAAGTAGTAGTGGGTAAGTAGGTAAGTAAGCAAGTAGTAGTGGGTAAGTAGGTAAGTAAGCAAGTAGTAGTGGGTAAGTAGGTAAGTAAGCA